GGCGGGGGTCTGGTCCCTAACCCGCCGTATAAGCGGTGCCCTACTGTATACACAATCTGGTTCTGTCACTGTTTCGGAATTAAAAAATTACCACTTTTTTTTTCAAATAGTTTGTTGACTGTGCACTAGATGTCACAAGCATATAAATATCTGCATGTACTGTAGTCTAGACATCAGTTTAATGAACTGTAAGATGAAAATACTTTATGGCAATCTGTGCTAGAAACAAAACATCTTAAAAGCCTTTCACCTTTTGCAGTTCCCCTAATGTGCAGTATGGTGTAGAATAAAGCAATTAATGATGACAGTATTGGATTGTGTTGATTGATAGTCATGGTAACATGTGCCATAATGAAGAATCTGGTTGCAAAAATTACATATCAGGCAAGGAACAGTGTGACAGGCAAGTGGCTCCACTATTTAGTTGGTTGTTTGATGTGAACTTGCTATGAAAATTTGACTTTTGGTCATCCTTCACTGGCACGATGTCCATACCAAATTCTTTGAAATACCTTGTGCTTGTGCACTTTTGCAAAGTATATATGATCATTTACATCGTGTAATTGTTAGATAGAGCATTCAGATTGAAATTGTAATAGTGGGATATTATGAACAATTGTTTCATGCTAATTTTACAACAGACAGGTGCTTTCTCACTTATTCTGCGAAAATGCATTGACCTTTATAAACACAGTCTCAAAATTATTAATTTATTTTTAATGCCTTTCATTATAGTGAATATTTATTGAAATTAATATAATTTGTCATTCTACAGATGTTTGTTAATGTTACATGGCTAATAAAGGTTGAGTATGTTGCCTTTGTTCCAGCAGAATTTGATCTTATCTTACTATAAACACATTCACTGTTGTGAATGCCATTTGCCTGTCGAGAGTGTGCTTTCCCAGCTCCAAAAATGGTTTATGACTTCTTAGGTAGTCCGATAATGTACTAAATTATTTCTGCAACATGTCTTCTGCTTCCACTAAACCTTCACAAATATTAGCATAATGATTGAAATACATATTGATTTTTGGCAGATTCTAATGAAAATGCTTGCAGTAATCTGTAACTTGACTACTTGGCCTACAAGTTCATTAGTGGTAATATTATTATGTTCACTTCTGAAACTTAGATTTAAAGAATATGGCCTACAGTAGATAATTTGTCAGGCTTATTTTAAAGTCCTACTTTGGCAGGAAAATGTAATATTTGAGGGAATTGGAATAGCTCAGTCAGTACAGTGTGTAGGTTATGGGCTGGGCATCTGATTCCTTACAGAACAAGATTTTTTTTTCTGCTACAGTGTCTAGATTGGCTCTGGGCCTAACCTAGCCACCTGTTCAGTGGGAACTAAGTGGTCAGGGCATGAAGCTGACCACTCACTTCCATCTAGTGCTGAAGTTATGATTACATAGTGTAATTCATCCACTCTCCCATATATCTTCATGGAGTGGAGCTTAATTAATAATCAGGGAAAGCTTTACTAAACTGTATTTGGGATTTTGAGTATGTAATATGTTGTAAATGAAAACTTTCAAAGTCCATGTTTGAAGTACTATAGTACGAGGCTCGTCCACAAAGTAAGTTTCCCTGGGGCCGTTTACAGAAACAAAACACAATTTCATGGAAATATTTATTGCAACAGATACAGCAAGTGTCCAGCTATTTTTCAACATATTCGCCACCGGAATTGAGACATTTGTCATACCGTGGGACCAACTTTTGAATACCTGGG